CCTGCCTGTTCTGTTTAATACTAAAATGGACATCAGAAAATGGATTATAAGCATCAAGCGGTGAGTAGATTAGTTTCATATTCATTAAATCTTCTGCTGCTTTGTGCGAAATGTGGTGTCACTCTGTGTTGTTTACATTTGTTTGTGTAAGGCCCAAGCCAAGCTGTTACTGATGTTTTTTAGTGTGGATGAGTGATTGCACACTTGCTCATGTTTGCTGTTTTTTGCCGGTGTTGGTGCCGCCGCACACACAATGCTAGGCTGCTAAGGTGGCTTGTATGTTACTGTTTATTAGTGCGTATTTGGAACAGCGTGCGTCTTTACGCATCGCGTTGGCCATGCTGTTTGAATGGTATTTATTTGTGACACATGACGTTTTTGTGGGCCCTCCCTCTGCAGATCTGCTCTGGCGCTGGGCCTGTATACATACACAACTTCATACATGTAGGACAAACACATATCACAATAGGCGTTCAAGGTGATGTCATTTGGCTACACCTGTACGCAGAACACATATTTTACAAACATTTTCACAATATTAAAATGTTGTGCAAGTTTTAATAAAAAAAAGAATGCAATTGTGGCCCTTCTAAAATGCGATTTATTATGTGGATAATAATAAATCCTATAATTCCAATAGAGTCCTTCAACCCTAAAGATCATTTAAAAAGTTGAAATCAATATTTTATAATTACAGTGGTTGAAATGACAATGCATCAGGAACAGATAACCTGACTCAGCAGTTCCTTTCACTTCTACAGACCATTTCAAGCACTGTTCAGCTTGTTTTACCAACATTTAGCAGCTACAGATGAAGAGAGTGACACCAACCTTACATTGGTAAGGTGGGCATGAAAATCACTCCAGATGAATAATAATGTTACTCTATTACAGGGTTGCCAACTTTGGGTACCTGGCTGGAGTGAGATTTTGATATCATGGGTTTAATTACACATATGCGCACTAAATGACTGCTATCGTGTCAGTAGCGGGACCTTAGCATATATATAGGATATATATACAATATATACAAATACACAATATTGGACACAGACTATAAAGGGCACAAAGTTTCATTCACTAATGAAAGTCAAACATGTTTGTTTCCACTGTTTTATTGTGTGCCTGTCGCGATAAGCAATTAATTGACTTATCGTATGATAAATAAAAATGAACTCGATAAATTGCCATTTACATTTTTAAGCTACGGAATGTTTAAACCACCTTCAGGCCAGCAGGAAGTAAACGTTACATCCAGTGGAGTATTTTTGAAGTGTTGGGACAGGTGTAACATTTGAGACTCATCAGTTAGAGCGGCGAGTATGGCAAGTAATGCCAAAGTCTTTTAAAAGACCAAAACCAGAAATAAGTTGATGCAAGTATGTGTATTTAAAGCCTAATATATTATTCCTTTGAGCTCCCTTCTTTCAGAACTCACCAATAAACCACACATCTGCACTGGGTGTTAATTCATTACCAGGGAATCCCTGCTGGGTGCAGCCACTATGATACTATATCAAAACCTCTGAAAAAATAAATGTGTCTCTCAGAATCGAAACGGAAAAATCTATGGGAAAAACACAAAAGCAGTGTACACAATTTAAACGTGGATGAGTAGTGCAGATATCACTTTAAAATCATTTGACAGTGAGGGGAATACAATTTTATTATGAAAACTTCGAGACCGGAAATACTGTTTTCACCCCGTGAGGGTTGACCCTAACTTTACATGGACGCTGCCGCATAATATACACGTTCTCCTGGCGAGACCTCAAATCATCTTCGTAATATCTATCAAACTATAGATCCTCCACTGGATGTGAATTCTAAAAGTACAATATACACTTCTCACTAGAAATCGAATCAAAAAGCATTTTAATGGCCAAACTATCCTACAATTTAGGATTTTCCAGATAGGGTTATTTGTGAATATACGACCCTCCGGAGCGTTTGCAGTCAACGGGAGCACTAGAGGTCGAAAACTTTCAAACGTGATTACAGGTCGTAATAAGGGCTTGAACAATCGACCTATTTGGTCGTATGAGTTGGAGGACTTGTTGGTTGCAGCCCTAGCCAAATGAAGCATGAGTGTTACATGGTGATGTCACTATGTTACAGAAGCAAACAAAGGAGTCCAATGGAGGCGTTTCAGGGACGGGGGGGCTTCTTAAAGTTGCAAACTATTTTCAGGGGAGCATGATATCTGTGCTATTGATGCAACTACTACCCATCCAATGTTCGGCAAGAGATGTTTCACACAGGTGCCAGACAGACAGACCCTGTCACCTCTTATGGCATGTGTTGTTTTCTTTTTTCTCATCCCTGTAATAAACACCTTTTCTCTAAAAAAGCCTGCCGCCCTCGGCTGGATGCCTCCGCAAGGGAGGCGTGTGGCGCAGTGGACTAGTGCGTTGGTGTTCGGATCAGGGGAGCACTGGTTCAAACCCCACTGCAGTCAGCATGTCGTTGTGTCCCTGAGACACTTCACCCCAAATTGCTCCTGTGGGGATTGCCCACAGTATTGAGTATGTACGTCGCTTTGGATAAAAGCGTCTAACAAGTAACATGTAATGTAATGTAATTAATCAATCATAAGGACTCAGGAGGAGACAAAATAACTATCATTCGGTTTCAATTTTGTCTGATTACGCCCGCCACGGGAAGTGAGTAGGTGTCGCTTCATTTTCGGTCTGGGCAACATCTTACTCCAAGTCACAAAAACATCTCATTAAGTTTTCCGTCAGTCTCTGTTCTGTAATTTTGGTGTTTGGATGCAATCCATCACACTTTAGCCTTGTGGTGCTGTGAACAATGAATTTCCTTCTCAGTGCGATGACACCATTGCCCCGTCGCTTTCTTTTAGGCGAGCAGCCTGCTCACTTCCTCCCCGCTCATGTGGCTTCCTGGCAGGCAGCCAGACCCCCCCCTCTATCATGGTCTATAAAGACTTGTGCTGCCGGTCCCGTGTGAGACAGGAAGCAGGGCCCTATGGACAGTGACCTCACCGCAGGAAGAGAGCGCAGGGTGTGTGTGCAGAATTGTAGTTCTCCATTCTCTCCAGATAGCACCAGTCACACGAAGTAACCAAACCAAAATATTTTCAGAGCAATTTTTAATGTGTACATGTCCAGCATGGCTTGTTAACACACTCAACTAGAGGTGATCACACAAAAAACACAAATGTATAAAATATTACATTTTCTACAGAAAAAACCCCACTAACAACCAACCAAAAAAAAAACAATTGGAATGTTATTAACAAAAAACATGTCCTATCAAGTTTGAGGAATAAAATAAAATAAAAATTATCAAAGACCAACAATAATCTCATCTGTTTTTATTTTTGACAGCTGCTTTTTTTTTGTATCTCATCCCAGTCAGGGATGATGGTTACATTTTCAGAAAGTCACTGAAGCATTACTCGGGTAGTAATGAAGAGTTCCACCATGGAAGGCCAGTAAATAATCCAACAAGATCTACTGTCGCTGCAGTTAGTGGAGGACAACAAGCTGCTCAACAGTTTCCATGTCTGTCTGAAGCAGCACTCAATGTCTCTGTCTGTTTCATCACCGAGATAAATTAGCCTGTGGTGATTTAAAATGAGTGTTTTCAGAGTGGTTCAACGAGCTAAGGTGAGATGCACTCTGGGAAAAGAGAGAAGCATCTGGACAACCCATGATCCTTTGGGTTCGTGCCATCATACGCCACAAAGTTGACCCAAGTGGAAGAGAAACTGAACACAGTCGTACTGTATGTGAAGTTTTACTCTTTTCTTTGATCTTCTCAGTCCGTTTTTTATTGATCTGGTTTTTTCCCTTTGAGTTCAGACTTTGCACAGGGCTGATGCAATGACTGTTTGAAGCTTGTGGTTATTAGGAAGTGCAGGGACACACATTGACCACAGGAAGCTGAAGTGGAGTAGAGAGACACAGCATGAAGAAAACGAAAAGAGAAAAGAGGAGGTTTTAACAGAGATGTTCATCAAAATAAGAGAGAAAAGCAGAAACATCCTGAGGGAGATGAAAGCTCAGACAAGGGATCGCCTCACCACACCTAAACCTTGCATCAAGGCCCTGTACTTCAAAACTAACAGGGAATTAACATAAAAAGAACTTCAGCCTTTGCAACTTGAAATCTGAATGTGACATCCTGTTGCTGAGTCTGCGCAAAGCAGACTCAAAACCTGACAGGTACAGTGTTTTAAGTAAATCCTACCACAGTATTCAAAGTTGCTGAACAAGGATCTAAAAATGCTTGGCCTTAGCCTTGTCTAGTTTCCTATCGGGGGGGTGGGAGAGGCGAAAGGAAGGTGAGGTTAGGGAAGACAATAATGTGTTTGTGTGTGTGTATTATAGAGAGTATATAGGGGGAGGAGAGAGTGTGTGAGAGAGAAGGCCATTGTTGTTATTACGATCCCCCGGGGCGTGGAGGGCCGGGCTGAGCATGTGGGGGGGAGGGGGGGGGGGGGGGGGGGGGGGGCAGATAGAGAGAGTGTGGGAGATTTACAGTCAGAGAGAACAGGCCTCGCTTATGGAGAGAGCTGATTAACTAAACACCTCGACACACACAAACAGGCATCAATCAGCCTGGACAGCTTCCTTTCTGAACCTTTACCATATTTCTCTTCTGCTAGCTGTCCTAAGAACATTACTGTGTCTCAATTCGGAAACTTTCCTTAGTCCGCTGCATGTTGTGCACTGTGAACACTGTGTGAATTTCTACCCTGTAGTGTTGTCTTAAATCACAAACAGCTGCTGTACCCTCACAGGAAGTTGCAAACATCACTGTTAGCTAGCTAGCTAGTTAGCTTCTCAATGTAATCGTTTGCTGTAGCAAATCATTACAGACTAAGGCCTAGGCTCCACGGGAAGGAAAACGGGTTGAATCCGCATATTTCTCTTGCGTATAGCCCTTTAAGCTAGACGACGCCGTAACGGAAACGGTAGAAACGACAACGGGTCCAAAGGTGGATAGATCTGGGAACGGAGCGCTCTGGGGGGTCCAACGGGGCCGTGTGGTAGCCTATACGGTCATCCGTTTCTGATAATGACGACGCATAATTCACCCAATAAAATTAACGGGGGCACATTTTTGACACTAGTATAGTATTACCTTTATTAAATACTGAAAAAAACAAAGGTATAACTTTTACTTAGCAAAACCTTTATCTGCTTTTTTGATTCCAGCAACCACTGCTGGTAGCCGACTTCTGCTACATATCCAACCTTTGCTAAAATGACGATTGTTGAGTGTGAGAAGTGTCCAGCGTTCTACACACAAGTTTTTGACGGTTAAAATTGCCAAACCATGCAAAAGGACGCACTTCTGCCAAAAAAGAGCTCTCAAACTGGCAAAAAAAAATATGATTTCAGCGACCTTGGGTCCCGTGAAAGGCGCTTTATAAATTCCATTTATTATTATTATTATTATTATTATGATTTAAAGTAAAGAAACGCCAGTACAATTAATGTTTTAAACTTTAACGTGGTTAACTGCATGTGGGCTTGCTGTGTGGAGGTCACAAAGGAGAACTGATAATAACAACTCCACACAAAGCGTTGCCTCTAATACAATGAGTCGACATTTTCTGAGCCTGTCCAGACACGGGGCGGTCTATTGATGTGCCTGTAGGAAGAGCAGGACAGGGGAGGAGAAAGCAGAGGGGGTTTGGGGGGGGGCTTTTAACACTGATTAGCTACGTCCGCCAATCCCCCTCCCCCTCCAACCCTGATGGAGAGGAGGTGAGTGATGGACACAGGACACCGTTTCCTGGCAACCGCTATTGACCGGCCACAGATCAATCTGCAGACTTCTGGTGACGGAAGATTATGCTCTTCCTTTTCTTCCACTCAGCAAGTGTCCTGTTAACTTTACCTCCTTCTGAGCGGTGTCCCACCTCAACCTGTCTGCACCTGCAGCTGGAGGTGAAGTAAGAGAACAGCGGTGTTGTGTTTCCGCACCGTCTGTCAGCATACAGTCTGACTGGCACTGAAGGAAAGCAGACGAAGCAAAATTGTGAGGGGCAGCTGGAATTGGTAAGCAGGTTTTTAAACTATCACTGCATCTACTTATTGTCTTTGTTGATTAATCTGTCATTTATTTTCTGGGTATTTCAATTTTTTCCCCACAACTCAAAGTAGAGGAGAACAGAAACTACTTAAGCATCCGATTTAGAAAGCTGGAGTCAAATCATTTAACTTTTTCCTTAATCAGTCAATCAAATATTTTGATATCAAAATAATAATAGTTCCCGATTCACTTAATATTTCCCAAATGTATTAATCTTTTTAGCACTTTTTTAAACATGTGATGGGGTCTCTTCACAGCTACTAAGCACATACAGCAAAAGACTGTCACCTCCTGTAGGCTAAAGTTTCCTCTTTGGCTAGCACTGCGGTTGAGCTAGCAGGAGAATTTGGGTCACATGAGCTGTTGCCAGTGGGATAGAGCCATCAAAGTCCCCTATCTCCCTCTCTCTCTCACCCCTCCTTATTCCTGTGATCCAAGCTGTGAGAGCTCAGGGAGACGAGGTCAGCGTCCCTCCCCCCTTTCTCTTGTGTCTCCTCAACCCCCCGTCCACATCTGTAACCTGATCCAGCTGAGACCCGTCTGCTCAGATTGGCAGTTTGGTCCTTAATGCGCCGTCAGATAAGGCTTCCTCCTATTCATATTGAAGCTGCACTCCTACACTCTCTCTCATCTGAGGCCGGTTTCTAGACTCTTATTGATCAGATTTTTCTAGAACATCGAGTAATGATTAGATTATTCACATTGTTCTTACGCCTTTTTCTTCTATTAATGTTTCCATGGCAGCCATAGGTTTCCATTCATTTCTTTACAGTACAAAATTCTGTATTTGAATTAAAAAAAAACGACTGAGTGTGGATCTATCATGATATCAGATGTTCAAGTTGGCCTGTTGCAATATCTATACAAAATGTTTTTTAGATACATTTTTAGGACAGATGCAAAGGGTCAACAGGTCTGAGCCCCAGTGTGAGTAAGCTATGCGGCTGCATCAATTAAGAAAATGTATATTTTTAATTCATATTCATTTTTCACTTTGTTTTTTGTGCGTTATGTCTCTTCGTTGGCATCTTAATTACACTCAAAACACCACTAGTGATAGGCAAGAATAACTGTACAAAAGTGTTTCACTTAGATAGTGAAAAGGCAACTTGATTAACCAATAAACCCCAAAAACAGAAAATAAGCTGCAATTATTTAAGTGGTTCTATTATTGACATGTCATGTGTATGTTGACATCATATCATTATTTACATTTGTATTATTAATACCACATGTATTGCGAAAACCCTTCTTGAGTTATATCATCCATCTGAGTGACTTATTTTTGCATTTGTGTGTCTGTGATTTTTATACACTCCAAAATAAATGGAAACCAATGGCTGCCAGGAATCTTTTTTTTAACTTTTATAATGAGTAGTTGAATTGGACATTTTTATTCTGCCCACACTACACTTCCCGCAAGATGAAAAGGGAGAGGAGAGTGTTTTGTTTCTGGGAGTTCAAGGTTTAGTTTAGGGGTCGCAGGGGTTAACAGCATTTGCACACACCTGCTGTTTCTTAATGAACAGGATTAGTCTGTGTTCACATGAAGCCCACCCTGGTGCTCACAGCTCCAGTATTTACAATAGATAGACCCCAGGTCATGTGCGAACCTACTTCAATTGAAAAAAACACGAGCAGTAAAAAAGTCCATTACAGAGTGCACGGTACATTAGCTGCACCCTCAGACCGCTGGGTTACATGTGTGCTGCTACTTCCTGTTCTTGAGTTAAAGGCCAGGGCTTCTTTTGTTTCGCCATGGTTTTATGTCAAAGATGCAATGAATGCTACTTCTCCCGTGTTATTTCACACTGAGCTGACTTTTTAAATGGACCATTAGTCTCTCTCCTCTCCTGTGCAAAGAAAATATATTTCTGCTGACAGAAAGGAAGCTCTCTGAGAATTAGCCTCATAAATGATGGTTAAAGGAAGAGATAAAGTCTGAGGCCTTTCAGCCAAAGAGGACTTTAAATGCTCTCCAAATAAGGACACAAAAGAAGGCAGACCTATTGTGCTATAGATGAAGACTGAAAACAAGGCAGTGGTACTCTGAATGTAAAGGATAAGGATACTGTTGATTCCACTTAGGCCATATTTTCGAAGCCACAATTTCTATTTGCTAACAAAAAATGCCTTTACAAATAAGTGTATTTCCCACAATATTTCACTTTTTCTTTAAATAGACCCCATGTTAGAGGGATTGTTTTAACCACTGTATTGGACTGACATGACAAACTGTACCGCAGAAACAGGCGAAGACATAGAGAAGAAGACGGTGAGAAGGGGAAGACAATCTACTGAACCCTTCCTGAAGCATAGTGGTCCGTTTTTCTTTACTAACCCTTCGCATTTTCTTTGTGCCGACTGTGATAGCATGAGCAGATGTGAAGGTATCGGCGAGGACAAAGAGCCTGCTAAGATTAGACGAGGGGGGGAAGGCGGTATATAAAGAGGCGGAGAATTGAACAGCCTTCCTGGTTTAGAAATAATAATAATTATAACAAAATGTCACACAAAATGAACAGAAATAATAAAAAAAAACAATGTGCAAACTTCTCTCATATAAATAGACTACAGTCGACGCATTGTAGAGCACCATGGGAGACGGGAGGAGGTTAGGATGGTGTGTTTGTGTATAAGTAAGACATCATTAATGCTTGCTTCTAGTGTTTGTGTACAGTATTGGATCTACTACCACAGGTTCTAAGAGTTGCCAGAGACGGATGGGTCGGTGGAAAGAGGCTTGGATTAGAGGAGCGCAGTGTCTAAGGTTCCAATTTAAGTTCAAAGTTCAGTTTCTGCCCTTGTTCAGGGTCAGACCCAGTCCTGCAGCGAGCGCTTGCAGTGCACCAGCAGCCGTGGAGCCCCTTTGCTCTGCAGCGTGTTGATGATGGCGTAGACGAGTCCCAGGATGCACAGCACCAGGACCAGAGGGATGGTCACCATCAGGATGTTCATGGTCCGCTCCTCGCTGTCGTCCACCTTCAGCACCACGTCCACCTCGTTGGTGTCTTCCTCGCGGCCCTCCCGGTAGTCCTCGTCTTTGTCGCCGTCCGACCCTTTGCCCGTGTCGTTGTCCGTCCCGTCACGATCCCCGTCTTTGCCCTTGTCTCCGTCGCGTCCAGTTGCGTCGGGGTTGAACGGGGGCCGGTTGACGTCGGGGTATTTGCGCCCCGCGTCTGCGTCCGTGTCTCGGTCTGGGTCCTGGTCCGCACTGCAGCCCATGAAGTCTCTCAAGATGGACTTGGGGTAGCCCGGCTCGCTCTTCATGCGGTGGTTGTCAAACTTCCAGTACTTGGAACCCTTGTAGAAGAAGGTGTACGCTGGAGAAAGCAAGGAGAGCACAAGATGTCAAATAACATGAAGATTTGAAGACGGACAAATGAAAGGAATAGTTTCAAAATGTTCCAACTCTTGCAAAGAGTTAGATGGTACGACTGATTCCACTCTTATCAGTCGGTTCAATAGAGTGGTGCAGTGATTTAGATTTTCACTAGGGCTCCCGCAACAAAAAGCTATGGGATTTTTCCATTGGATTTTGCAATATATAAGATCTGTGGCAGACACACGTCTATGATGCTCACATGTTTTGTTCAGCAGAATAACCTCCACATAATAACACCACTTTTATGATTATTGAAGCGTAAATGCAATCACCAGAAGTAATAAACCAAAGTTAGGCTGTAAACAAACTACATCACGGTCGCATGGCTTCACATTAGCATGGCTAGGCTAAAGGCTGACTCGTGTCTGGGTTATGACGTTAAGTTGTCTTATTCAGTTACTAGTTAGCATCCTCCGTTATAAAGACACATAGAAGCTTCTGAAATGTTTGAATAGGGTATTAACTAACGTATTTAGGGATAGTGGTGGTCTAATGGATAGCCTAATTCAGGCATCTAACCAAAGGCATTTTCAAAACAATTTTGACTCCGAGACGAGGGAACCCGAAATGGTAAAATGCTAACTCGTTTCCAGGTTTTAGGACTCATTCTATACAAAGCTAGAGCCATCAGCAGGGAATATTAGCTTAGCATAAAGGCCAGACAGCTGGGAGGCTAGGGCGACACAGCAATCATTTTCCCTGCACACAACTTCTGTAAATAAATCGTTTTTACACCTTTTTTTGTGTGTACATATTTAGCATATAGATGTTGCCTTGAGAATGAGCAAGGCACCAAGTCACCGCTGGCCATAGCTTCATATTTGCTGTCGATATGAAAGTGGCATCAACCACCTCATCTATATCTCGGCAAGAAAGCCAATAAATGTAATTCCAAAAACTTGTCCTTTTATAACCTAAGAAAATCTCGAACTTGTTTACTTTAAAATAATTGGCTGTATATTTAAACATGTCTACTGAGTGTATCTCCACGTGCATATACGATTTTGCACTGCAATCCATTACTTTTGCTGTTATTATAAAACCCTATAAAGTGCATTGAAATACCCAATAAAAAAAAAAGGTGCTATACAAATAAAGTTGTCTTGCTTTGTCGACTGTCTACCGTAGATCGAACCACTCCTCTCTATTTTCACTGTAACCAAGCACAGCAAAGCACAAAGCACTTCACATGTATGTGCTCAAATTCACACACACACTCCATCCCCTTTCTCTCCTGATGATTGTGTGACCACACCCTGATTCTTTGTTCCATGCATCAGTGTGCCCCAGCCCTTTTTGGCTTTTTCACACATACACATACACACACACGCACACACACATTCACATTCGATACAACCACTCTTCTTGAGTGAGCTCACCTCCATCATCGCTGAGGAAGGCCCCCTTGGGGGAGGAGGGTACTGAGGATCCCCAGACGCTGATTGGTTTCGGGTATCCTTGGTCCGTGTGGCGGGACTGCTCGTTGAAACGCCAGTACCTGCAGACAGCAGTCAGAACCAGTTGTTACTGTAACTGTCTAAACAAGTAAAGAGCAGAATTCTTACAAAGTGCAGTGCATGGTGTGTGTATAATAACTGTCCTTACTGGTAATGCACTAGTGAAACTGCAAAAAGACTGTGAGTAAGGTCTCTTTCAAAATACAGACCTTAAGTGTAACTATGTTTCTACTTAAATAAAGGTTCAAGGTTAAAGGTTAAAGGTTCAAGGTTCAAGGTTCTTTATTTTGTCCTACGAACATAGCTACAGTGTAGTTATGCCGATGAAAATCTTAGGTCACAGGCTTCTCCAACAGTGCAACACAATAACACAGATAAACAGAAAAATATAGTGCAAGTATAGAGTAAATACAAAAAGAAAAATTGTTTAAAAAAGTGAAATAGTGCAATAAGAGTCTATATGCAAGCTATTGGAATGATATATTAGAGAAATAGATAAATAATTACTAAGTAGCAGATGAATGTTATGGATGTTGTTTCAACAGTTCAGGTGTTTAACAGATGTTGTTTCAGCAGTTCTGTTGTTTAGCAGTCTTATTGCCTGTGGGATGAAACGCCGGGTTACGTATTGTAACCCTTGTTATATTAGCACAGGCTCCGCCCTCTACTGGACTTTATGGGTACTACCTTATCATGCAAGCATTCACCTACTGAGATTTCTATGGACGTAGCCGGCCCCGGGGCGGGCCTACCTGAATGCATGCGCATCTCACTTCCGTATAAAAGGAGGCCTCGCCTCCTGACCACCATCCTACACCACTCTTCAGCGAGCGGTATAGGACAGACAGTGCCCCAAGGTAGAGGGCTCCGCCTGTGCTAATATAACAAGGGTTACAATACGTAACCCGGCGTTATATCTCTCACAGGCCGATGTATGCACGCACTGTCGTCCAGCACACCATTCCACCTCACTGTCCCTGACCGGCTTTAGCAGCCACCGCGCCTCACTCACCTCTCCCTCGGTTGTAACCGTGGAGAAGTCTGGGCTGCGGCTGATAGAGCACACCCTGACGCGCTTGCCTCGCGAAAAAAGTGTGCTTGTAAAACAGTGCTGAGGGCTCCCCTGCGTCTGCCCATAGGCAGACAGAGAAAGTCCGCAGCCCTGTATGGGTTCACTATGCATTCTCTCTCCCGAGTCCCTAAAGAGCACGTGGGAGAACGCAAGTGCCCCCTATGTCCCCACACTCAAACGCTGACCCTGTGCAGAGTGTGTAGGGACTATAGTATGGAGGGCTCTCCCCCTCCTGCGCCCAGGCAGGCGAAGGGAGCCCTCCAGCCCTGAAAAGGGCCCAGAGCACCCCACGTCACCCTGCGACCCTCCAGGGGTCCGGAGAAATTTAAGGGCATTTACGCCCGGGGAGAGGGTCAGATGCCCACTGACCAACAGCCCCCCCCCTCCTCACCAGTCCTGTGTTGCCCCAGCAAGCAGAGACGTTGAGAAAGAGCCAGACATATCCAAGAGATAAAACTTTATGAAGGGGCCTGGCGTTGACCAAGACGCCGCCGTGCATATATCCTCCACACTCACACCGTTGAATAAGGCTGTTGATGCAGCCATAGCTCGTGTGGAGTGCGCACGGACCCCCATGGGACAGGCTCTCCCTGCCTGCTCGTAGGCATGTGCAATGCCTTCGCAAAGCCAGCCCAGTTTCTTGGACAGAGCTTTTCCAGTCACCCCGCCCCTGAAGCACACAAACAGCTGTTCAGTGCGTCTCAGGGTAGCGGTGCGCTCTACATAACATGTTAACGCGCGCACCAGGCAGAGGAGGTGTAATTTAGCTTCCCTGGCCCCACCATGGGGTGGAAGACTAAAACCCCCCAACTGAATAGCCCTCGACCTGAACGCACTCCTTAGGCTCTTGGGCACAAAGGAGGGGTTCGGTCTGAGTGTCGCCCCACTCTGGTCACCCCGAATCAGTAAACAGCTCGGGTGCACCGACAAAGCGGTTAACTCGGACACTCTTTTGGCTGACGTTAAGGCAAGTAACAACGCTGTCTTCCACGACAGTGCTTCCAGGGAGGAGAACTCTAGAGGCTCTAGAGGCTCAAAAGGCTCCGTGACCAGAGCCTCGAGCACCAGTGGCAGGTCTCACTGCGGGACTGAGGCACGCACCACTGGGCGCAGCCTCCTGACCCCCTGTAAAAAACCGCAACATCAGTGGATGAGAAAAGGCTGACCTGCCTTTGAATCCCTCATGACAGGACGAGATGGCTGCTGCATACACTTTTATAGTAGAATGAGCTAGTCCTCTGTCCACCAATAACTGTAAGAAGGACAAAATAGAGCCTAACTCACAGGATAGGGGCTCTATTCCCCGCTCCTCACACCAATGCTGGAATCCCAGCCACTTTGGCCTGTAACAGGCTGTGGTGGATTCTGCTCTAGCTGCCTGGATAGACTGAATAACGCTGTCAGACAATCCACCCTGTCTCAGCCTGTCCCTCTCAGGAGCCAAGCCTGAAGAGGACGGCCCAGAGTGGGTAACGCCCAGATTGCACCTGCCTCTTGAGACATCGCCCCCCAGAACTGGGGGATCGCCCAGCGCTGGCCCACCTTCATCTGCGTCATTTCTGAGTACCACGGAGCCCCGACGCGATCCGGTGCTACCAGGATGACTGCCAGACGTTCTCGCCTCACTCTCCCCAGGAGAGGGAGAATGAGACGCAACGGTGGAAAGGCGTAGAGCAGCTTTCTTGGCCATGGCTTGTGTGCAAACGCGTACACCCCCAAAGGCAGGTCGTCACTCAGGGCCATGGAAAACCACAGGGCACAGTGGCTGTTGTGCCGGCTGGCAAACAGATCCACTTCCGCTCTCCCGAACTGGGCCCAGATCTGCTTCACCACCTCCGGGTGAAGCGTCCACTCGCCTGGCAGGGGGCCGCCCCTCGACATGAGGTCGGCCCCCCTGTTCTCCAGTCCCGGGATATGGAGGGCTCTCAGAGATAATACCACCTCTGATGCCCATAACCACAGCCTCTCCGCTGTGGCCAACAAGGCGGCAGAGCGGACTCCGCCCTGCCTGTTGATATAAGCCACTGTGGTGCTGTTGTCGCTCCTGACCAATACATGTCTCCCTTGAATTAGGGGCATGAAATGCTGGAGGACTAACACTACCGCCCGTAGCTCTAGGAGGTTGCTGTGTCGTGTTTCCGTTAGGGACCAGCGCCCACCTATAGCCCTCTTCAGCCAGGTCCCTCCCCATCCTGTTCTGGATGCGTCCGTAAACACTGTGATGTAGGAGGTTACCCGCCCCAGTGGAGACCCCCTCCGGAGGCGCCCGGGAGACCCCCAGAACCGGAGGTTGCCCTCCACTGTCGCCGTCTCGTCGCCGTCTGTGATCTGGCCGATGACGGTCGTGTCGTCAGCAAACTTCACGATGGTGTTGGAGCTGTGTGTGGCCATGCAGTCGTGTGTGAACAGGGAGTAGAGGAGAGGGCTGAGCACGCAGCCTTGAGGGGCTCCGGTTTTGAGGATCAGGGTGGAGGATGTGATGTTTCCCACCCGCACTGCCTGGGGTCTGCCAGTTAGGAAGTTCAGGATCCAGTCACAGAGGGCGCTATTGAGCCCGAGGTCTCTGAGCTTGATGACCAGCTTGGAGGGCACAATGGTATTGAAGGCTAAACTGTAGTCAATGAACAGCATTCTCACATAATGTGTTCCTCTGGTCCAGGTGTGAGAGGGCAGTGTGGATGGTGAGGGCTATGGCGTCGTCTGTGGACCTTTTTGCTCTGTAGGCAAACTGCAGGGGGTCCAGAGAATCAGGGAGGGAGGAGGTGATGAAGGTTTTGACTAACCGCTCAAAGCACTTCATTATGATGGAGGTGAGTGCTACTGGGCGGTAGTCGTTGAGTCTGGTGATTTTTGTCTTTTTGGGGACAGGAACGATGGTGGAGTGTTTCAAACATGTGGGGACTACAGACTGCAGCAGGGACCTGTTGAAGATGTCTGTGAACACCTCTGCCAGCTGAACTGCACACACCCTGAGAACACGGCCAGGGATGCCATCAGGTCCAGGTGCCTTGTGTGGGTTAACCCTTTGAAAGGATTTACAAACATCTGCCCTGTTTAAAACAAAAATGCAGGGCTCCTGATCCTTCTCTGCACCCCCAGCCTGGCTGCTCTCGAAGCGAGCAAAAAAACAGTTCAGCTCATCTGGGAGAGATGCACACACAGACACTCCCGCATTACCCCCCGCTGCTCCTTTGTAGTCTGTCATTGTTCTTAGTCCCGCCCACATGTTCCGGGTGTTACAGCCTTTGAAGTCAGATTCCACCTTGTCTTTGTACTGTCTCTTTGCGCTGCTGATAGCTCTCCGGAGTTCATACCTAGAATTCCTGAACTCCTCCAAATCTCCCGCTCTATGCGCGATAGTGCGCGCTTTCAGCTTGGTACGAACCTCGCCGTTTATCCAGGGCTTTTGATTTGGGAATGTTCGTACAGAAACCTTCGGGACCACGTCATATACCCCTTTCACACCAACGCAACTCCGGTTCAAGCTCCGTGCTAGAGCTTTTCAGGTTCGGAACCGGTACTTCGGTTTAGCTCCGGCTCTTTTCACACCGCTCAGAGACCGACTGGTGCTGCCGCTGCTGCGTCATGACGTCACAGTTTACGTCGCTGATTTTCTCCCCAACGGAGCTCACCTCACAACAACAACGGGCCGGGGACTGCGTTGCTTTTAATCATACGAAGCCAGATTAAATTAAATAACGACTTCTCCAACCTTATACTTTTCTCCAGAGTGCCGTGGTTCATTGTTTATTAATGTGTTTCAGCTGCATTTACCGACCGCTGCAGTGCTGGCCGGCTGCTCTTCCACGAGTGTATTCTCCCGTTAGCTCCGGGTTAGCTCACACGGCTCTAAAGTATTCACTGTCTGACTGTCACACAAGCAGCTGATACATATCCCCAGTTCCCCTTAAGTGAATGTGTGTCAGTCTGAATTGACGCTGTTTGGTGTCAGTCTGAATTGACGCTGTTTGGCATCACAACGCTGTTATGAAAGTTTCTCTGGTATAACATGGGTGATGTTAGCATAGCAACCGAAGCTAAACTGACTACTTGCTAAGCCGTTTTCTACAGGCACTTTTTACCGACGTATTTTTCATTATGATTCTACTTGTGATAGTCGGACATGACAACCTGTGCAGCCCATGTATTGATTCCATCCGATAGCTGCTATAATAACAAACAAAACGTCTGCCTGCTCTCCACAATGACCAATAACAGCGAACGGATGGTCAAAGTAAGGTACAAATAAACAGAATCACACGAAGCCTGGTTAGTGTTGCCTGACTTTATAAAGTGTGTTTTTTTTTAACAAGTGTGTGGTTGCGTTCTAGTCACTTTGCTCAGCACTACTGCTTGTTACAACTTTTATTTGCCGTACTCGCCTTAACTCAGCTTAGCTCAGGTTAATCTCGCCCCCCTCCGACGTAAGCGTGACGTATGCGGTTCTTGCTTCTAGACGGACAACTTTTTGGTGCTCGAAACGAACCGGATTCCGGAGCTTAGAGGCTGCTCCGCTGCGGTGTGAACAGGAAAACCCGGTGCTTTTCAAGCACCAGCACCGAACCGGCCCCGAAACACCGTTGGTGTGAATGGGGTAATAGATGCATTTCCCAATGTAGCAGATGACCGTATCCGTGTGTGTGTTAATGTTATTGTCCTCAAACACACTCCAATCCGTAGATGCAAAGCAATCCTGCAGAGCTGAATCTGACTCCACGCTCCATCGCTGTACTGTCCTTGTTACCGGTCTGTCCCGTTTGAGTTTCTGCTTGTAAGCAGGCAGCAGCAGCAGTGAGATGTGGTCTGATTTGCCGAAGGGAAAGAGCCTTATATCCATGTCGAAAAGGGGAATAAACATGGTCCAGTATGTTTCCCCCGCGCGTCGGGCAGCTGATGTGTTGGTAGTACTTCGGCAGGACCTTCTTCATGTTAGCGGTGTTAAAATCCCCGGCCACAACGAACATGTTACCCTTGCATTTATTGTTAGCAGAAGTGGGTTCAGTATGTTTGTTTTGTCCACAGAGGTGTTTAACTTGTTAACAAAGAGCTGTACAAACACAGCTGCTGCTCTGGTAAAGTGTATTACTCATAGGGCATGCTGTAACAGAAATTGGTCCCGTGATCTCAGTCATTTGAGTCTTTATATGGAAACAAACACAAAAACTCCATCTAGATAGATTCAAAACATTGACACTGTACTTCATCAAGTGAACTTATTTTCTAAATTGGAAAAGTTTGAGAAGCATTTATCTTTGAGTTAAAGAGCAACAGTGGTTATGGTTTAATAAGTCATACCTGTGAAGTTGTACTAAGGCTTGATAATGCTTTAAACTAAATGTTAACCTTAACATGCTTGGATTAGTAATGCTTTCATACTGATGTTTCCATGTATGATGTTTACCATGTCTTATTTGAACATGTTAGCATGCCAACATACTGCAGCTGACACGGAGTAGGCTATAGCTGAGGTTAATGTTGCGTTACTTGTCAGCTTTTCTTTTATTTAGTATCAGTCCTGTGTCAAATGTTGTTTTAAATCATACTTGGTCAATCTCATCTGTTTTTTAAATCAGGTCTTGATTGACTACATTTCTGGGCATCAACATTTTAGCAACTGTTTTAGCATAATTGGAGTGATTGGAAAACTATTTTAGTTTTCAGAATACAATACAGTTTACTTTCATTTCAATCTACTCTAGCCAAAATATCACAATTTTCTTTCTCCAAAAATATGTCAGTGTTGTCGCAATGCAAATCCAGCTAGCGCAAACCCCACCGCTGAACGGCAGCAACAGACTTTTTTTTCTTTTTTTGTATCTAGAGTGGAGTCTGGACGGTCCAGAATCAGCTGGTCCTCAGCGAGCTGTGATACCTGGTGCTGGTGTTTAGGCTGACTGAAATGTGAATAGGTTGGAAAAATGATAGAGCTAACGGCATGCAACACAGGATAACGAAAGGAGCATAGAGAGAGATGTGGTAAAGTGTTTAACTACATTTTGTCCTTCATGTCCTTTTTCATCAACAATGTTTAATTTTGATAAAGTCACAGTGAGTGTTGAACTCTGTGCCTTCTTCTCATCGTCTTATCGTAGGACATGGACCAAATATTTAATCATAGAGTAACAAAAACAGCACTAGACTGAAGTAAATTCAGGTCATAAACCAAAACATTGGACACATTGAAACCTGATAATGTAACCAGATAAAAAGTCTCTAAAATGATGAACCCAGAGTGAGGTATGAATGTCTGTCTATCATATAGCTGCTCTATTCATATAGTTGGAGGCAGGTGATTTAGAGCAATGTGTGTGAGTCTGGCTGGTTGCAGGCTACATTACCTGTCTCCTTGGAAGAAATAGGTGTAGCCGGATGGCTCCCACCAGATGGCTGTGTCTATTCGGTCATAGGGAATACCTAGGCCATAATCGACCAGCTCCATTGGATAGCCCTGTTCCAGGTTAGCCTCCCTGAAGAGCCAGAATCTGGTTCCTGAGGAGATGAGAGGAGAGGAGACATCCTCTGAGTGTTTAATGATCCTATATGGCCCATACATCTGCACATTCCCTATCCACCCGCACTCACAACCCTTATGGACTCTGGAAAATGTGAGCACACACACAATCATACTGTATATGTCATGTTCACTCGGTTACACACACATCCAAGAACAGATGTAGCCCTACAAATGCTGCTTATGCACGCACATTTTATCTTCTGGCACGGAATGTGTTAAATAATTGAAAATAAATGAGGAATAAAAAGAGAACAATCAGAGAAACCAAACCAGAGCTTGTAAATTCTATGAATGTTATAATGATTTGCTGGCAAGATATCAGAAAACACGAGTGTATCATTGACTGCTGGTTTAGCTCGTAACGACCCATTAGCAGCGGCGTGTCTCATGTCAGGCTGAAGCAGGTTTCTCGCCTAAGGGAGGGTTTTATTGTTTTTACTGTGTCAGACAGGGGGACTCCGTTCCTCCTGGCACTGTTACATCTCTCCTCTTGGCTTCAATCCACCTTTCCCTCCATCTCCCCTCCTCATACATACCCATCTATCCACCCACCTCCGGCCCCTTGCTCCCTTTTTAAAACGAAAGCCCTACACTCAGCATCTGGAGAGAACGAGAGGTTGACGCAATGCTTCCAGTGTTCCTGCGGTGCACACGACTTAGAGTAAAATCCCATGACTTATTCCAAGACTTTCCAGGGATTCAGTGACCTATAGATTTGACTCCTGCTGTGTAACTGTTCTAAAGGGACTCACTTAAATGGATGGATATTCTCTGTCTGGATTACAACTTTTAGAACATGAGTCCATGAAGTGGTCGTTGTTTAATATATTCCCTGTAGGTCTTCCTAAAGTCCAAAGTCCAAAATTGCTTTCTTGGTATTGAGAAATTGATATCCAATTTCCAAACATTAACAGAAGGATACTTCATTTACAATTAGAACAACAAGTTATTGTTGTATATATCAGTAAGACTATTTGTACACGAACTGTGTTTTTGCAACAAATAACAAATAGGTTGTCATTAATGAACTGCCTTTATTTACAAAGAGTATTCATTTTTAATATGGATTACTGAAGAAACTATTATTATCTACTTAGACCTGCTAGAGCTAGCTTGCCTTGTGAGCTGACACTCAGAATGTTAGAAAAAACAAGTAAGCATTTTTTTAAAGAGGCCATATTATGCTTTTTCGGGTTTTCTCTTTTCTATTCGGTATTATATTGATTGTTGTGCCTGTTAACGGTCTGTAAAAGGCTAAAATCACAACGTTTGCTCAACAGAGGGTGAAAAGAGGCACTGCAGCACAGGCAGTATGAGAAGGTTTTGAGCATAAAAGAATGTAAACATGTCACAGTAGAGGCACAACATATGAATATGAACCTGAAAATGAGCATACTAGGGCCCCTTTAACTATAGACTAAGGAATATCTATGTATGTTTGTTCACATAATGAGAACCATCCATCTGAATGCACTTGGCGAGTGCATTGCTGGGGACTGTAAAGCTCTCCCCTTGTTGTTCTCTCTCTCTCCTCTGCTCAGGTCTTCCTGATCTGCACTCATCACTGATATAAAGGGAATGCTTGAGAGAAGGGTCTCTCTTTGTCTCTCTGCTGTCAGACTCTGCAGCACTCATTCAGCCTTAGTAAAGGATTTTGCTCTTTAATATGTCTTAGTGTATTTTTGTTGTTTCCTTAAGTATGGAGAATCAGGCAGTCCAGTTTTCGCAGCATTGTTTCTTAGATTAGTTTTTGCATTTGCCTTTAAGATAAACCCTTTTTGATCCCGGGAGGGGATGTCAGGTATCTTAGCAGCATCAGCCACAAGGTTTAGTCTTTTTCCACCACTTCCCAAGATTAAGAATAATATATTTAACCATTCTCCAAGATTAAGAGTACTTAGCATTTGGACCACTTTTAGCTAAGCAAAGGTCACAAGTCCAAAAAAAGAACAAGTATTGATAAAGGAGTCTTCAGCCTCTCTTCAGGCTCGATGGTCCTTCTAGTTCTGGACTGCTATGATCCATTGAAAGGTCTTAGCTTCAGCTGTGTTTGCCTCTCCTTCTCCTGTGCTCTCAGTTCTTGCTTCCTTCCTTTTTCTTTCCTTCCTCTGCACTTCTCTTGTTCTTCCTTCGCTAATGGCTCGCAGCCAAGTGTCACACTGAGAGCCTTGCCGATGACATCATCCTCCTCCTCATCCTCAGCAGCTGCCCCAAAGCCAGCAGCTGAGCAGAGTCAAGCTGTATCAAACACTGCTTCTTTTCTTTTTCCTTCAACAAACTTTACCCACCGCTGTAAAACACACGCTACTCAGTGACTCACAGTGCAATAATGATCTGTTCTAAAAGAGATTTATGCTCTGCATGTAGAATGCATTATGTACTTTATTCCAGGAGGTGGGGGCATGTTTATTATTTTCATAATCTGAAGATGATGAAAAAAGTTCTGCGATTTGCTTTATAGTTGAACTATGACAGACCTGATGGTTTAAAATGACTATGGAGGATGAATAATGTTTAGAGTTTGTAAAGAAGAAACCATATGGGCATGATTTCAATGCAGGAGTTAATACTTAAGTCAAAGGAAACACTTATATTTCATATGCTCTTGATACATATTTGACCTTTAGGAGCTGACATGCTGCTGCAAGTCAGACCAACGTATGATAAAAGCTGGAATGTGTGTTTTACCAAAGCTTCCAGTGAATCCAACTATGATTTTGTACACAGTGCTGCTTCATTGGAAACTGAATCCAAACACTGGATTTGTTTGTCATTGTTGCTACTTAAGCATAGCAGACTGAATGTTACTCTCAAGCTTGGAGCCTCATTTCAGAATTGGGTATATTCTCAAAGTCTGTTGTTGCTTCTGGACGTCTTGTCATGCTCCAAAAGTGACGGTTAATAATACCAAAAGAAGATTATTTAGAACTGGCCCAGGCCTGTTTTTACAGCAGCAATAGCCAGAGACATGTATGTTCATTCCCTGAAGGACAGTTAGTAAAGGAGGATAAGAGAAGTATAGTCCAGCTTTCAATTCTGACCACTTTTGTAAAAACGTAAAAGCTTCGATGCAAATCAAAAATGTATTAAAAAAAAACGTTTGTTCTATATTAAACGTGACTAAATATGCTAAAGATCAAAGGGTGTGTACCATGATGTGTCTGCTCTTGGCTCTAGGAAGTCAGAGTTGATTAAATCATATCAATTAGAAACGTACCGGATAAGTTATACAAAATTCTGTATATAGCTACTAAAAATGTTTTATGTCCTTTCTCAAAAATAGTAGGCTACACCTCAGTCACCAGTGCTCTCATTCCCTTTGTCTCACGTCAACTAGATGACAGATATTCCTCATTTTACCTGCAGTCAGAGCATCACTATTTTAAGAATAGAACAGAAAGTCTGAGAAACAAAGTGTTGATGACTCATCGGTATTACTAAAGCTATAGCTGGAGCAGGGTTTCCGCTAGGACTTTTTCTTGCCAGTCAAATGTCCGGACAGAATTTATTTTACCGGACAAATTTGAAACTTACCGGTCATGTTTCAATAATAATAATAAGAATTGTGTAGCAGAGTTTCCGTTAGCAGGTAATTACCGGACTATGACTGGATATGCTGATGTTTAAAACTCAGTTAATGGGGCTCTTTTTTATATTGCTTCAGTTTATAATCGTAACAGATCGAAGAATTCAGATTTATTTTTCAATAAATGATGCGCTTCCACAAACAACAAACAACATAGTTATTACATTCAAACAAACTACTTGTAGTAGATGAAGTACATTATTCAAAAGTTTACATTAACTTTGGATAATAACACGGGAGAAACAGATCCTCTCTTTTCCTCTCTCCCTCCCTCTCTCCTGACAGTCCGTCTGTTTCTCATGCAGCTCGCTAAACAGTGGGCGGGGCTTCAGGTGATTATGCAGAGCTGATCTGATCTCTCTCTCTCGCGTCCGGATACACTTTACCGGTTTTTAATACATTTTACCAGCTAAAAACCGGTAATTACTGGCTAACGGAAACCCTGAGCTGGAGTTACCTTAACTTTGGTTTCATTTAAGTATTTTGGCTAGAATGTAACATCTGTTGCGAGAAGCTACCTTACAACAGCATAAGAAGCCAGGCAAAACTATACAAGACCAGTCATTAAAACACAAAGCGACCATAGCTAAAGGTCAATAGTTATTTGAGAAGAATCCACATCAAATATTTAGTAGAGACTTAAGTACAAAGCACAAAAATCAGCCCATAATTGAAAGTGATTGGATTCTTTTTTTCATATATTATCTTTATTTGACCTCTTTGATTGCATTTTTGGGGTACTTGGGATTTGTCCGGGCGTTGCGAAAATAAATATCTGAAATGGGTATGGTTATGGAGCCTTTAAAATTGCGTAAGCCGGGCCCAAGAAAACAGCCTCTTGGATGTATGTTGAATAACATACTGGGCCAGCTAGCGAGAGATGTTCTTCAGTGAACGACTCCTTCCCCCTAGAAGCACCACAGAGCACCACACAACTTCATTCCTTCCTGTGGGCATCACACTGTTTAACTGAGCGTCAGGCACTCAATATGCTGGCACTTAACTTACCTATGTTTGTATTATATTTTATAATATTTCCCCAGGGGATAATTAAATCCCTGATTCTGAAAATGTGAGTGTGTATTTGTGTTTGCTGCTTACCTTTAAAGAAGACGAACCTGCCGTCGTGTCTCTCGTAGGCAGAGTCTATGTCTCCAGGCAGCCCCCTCCAGAAGTGACCGATGGGCATGGGGTAGTTATCCAGGACCCTGTTCCTGCGCACGCGCCAGAACCACCGACCCTGAGGGGAGACACACGTATGTTTGAGAGTTCATCACTTCTTATTGTATGCTTCAAATACTCTGTTGTTGCTTATTTTCTTTTATTCCTGTTACTCAAAGCGCAAACCAATGCCCAAATAAGTTCAAAACATATGGCTTCATATCTTAAACTAAATATTTCCTTTAGCCTTTTCAAAACATGCATATGCACAGGAATATGAAGTGTTTTGCTGCTGTAAGAAGGGTATTCTCTTTTCACAAGTCATCTGGTTTGAACTGTTTCACCAAGCAGTCTGCAGCAGAACTGAACCAGAGCGTGCACTAAGCTAACAATAGTGGAACCCTGGCAGGCTAATAATAGTCAGTTTCCGCTCCGGTGGCTCTTCAGGTCTTTATGTTGCACTCTCTGTTGATCACAGCCTGATACAGTCACTTTTATAGAGTGATTTCAATATCAAGGCAGCAGCACAAACAAGTAGCACATTTGATCCTAAGGACATTCATATACTCTGTATGCTGTGCACACAGGCCGGCAGGCAGATTTACACCAGCAGCCCTCAGACTCATTCATGAGTGGTGAGTCAGTATCCTTGCTTGTCCTGGATAATGTAACAGCAAAATGCTCAGTGCTGCTTCTTTCTGGCAAGCACACCTAGTTATGTCCTTCACGCAGGACACGCTGGCAGACAAGGCGGCGCGGCACGGCACGGGATGGAACAGAAAGGAGATTGGATGGGGAGAGCGAAGCAAAGGCCGAACACACTGCATGCTTTTTCGATTTGTGTGGTCTGACAGCCGCTTTGTGTTGACCAGATTAAGACGGAGTTGACCATATTAGTCCTCAGCAGAACAGATCTCAGAGTGGGAGTTTGAATATTGAGCTCTGCAGATCCAGCCCTCTGCTGTGAGCAAAGTGAATAAAATAAATGACAGCTCCTTTCTTATTTGAATGAACTGTGGAGAAAGTGGCACTGATGTGCTACAGATTACTCCCACTCACAGTGCATTAAGTAAGTCGTTTTTCCTGTGCATAGTTATATCAGAGAAGAACAATTTCTACTTTGCATAATAACAGTGGAGGCACTACTTCCAAATTCACAGGAGGAGAACCAAATTAAATTAGTCACAACTAAGTGCTCAGTATCAGTCAACAACATTTTGGGAAAATATACATCTGACGTGCATACTTCACTTGTCTGTCTTTGTCTTTTTCACACTTTTGGAATATAGGATCATCTAGACTTCAAAGAAGACAAAAAAGGAGACACAAGGTAGCAGCATTTCCAGTCTTTTCAACGGGGGGATGCAAATTATTTCGCTATGGTATTGGTAATAAGGGATTGCCGCCCACCTAAATTTGCACATTTCGCTTTGCCGCCATAAACCAGAGAATTGGAAGAAAGTTGTTCTAATGCATGTCAGATGAATCCAGTCCAGCCGCTACTTGTTGGGACATTTCCCTGAAAGAAAAAGGAAAGCTGCTGGTGGCACTACAGGAGAAATCAGGGGGTCGCCAACGTCATTAGGATTCTTCTTCTGGGGACCACGAATGTCTGTACAAGAATCTAGATTTTTGGCTGTTGAGATATTTTAGTCTCATAAAAAGGAGGGGGTTCACTATCTATAGAGCCACAATAATAAAAAACGAAATATATCCAATAAAATTACATAACAAAATAATTAGCAATGATGGATTCCCCTATTAAATTTCATTTAATAAAATATAATAGTTTGACCAGGACATGGTAATTATAGTGATTGCATCTTGTCTGCATCTACTCGGATCAAGACAAAGTTTAAGAACCACTGGTGGGCATGGACAAAGTTAATTTGGGACACTGATTAAGGCTATCCAGACTAGCTTCATGAAACCCAAGCACAGAGACATGACTGTCTGAGATGAAACCCAAGAGCACAGACACAACTGTTTGACCGTGTGCAGCACTTGTCCAGGCAGCTGGACGTCCAGACTCACTGGTCAGTGTCAGAAACACTTAAGAGTCAAAGATAGCAGATTCACAGACACGGCTCTGCTATATTATACTTTGCCAAAATAACGTGTGCATTCGTTTATCCAATCAAATGAGAGCATTGTTCAAAGCGAAGCGTTCTGTTCTACATGTATTAGCGAAGAGCTTAGTTAAAATGCATGAAAGAAAAACATTTCTATTGATTTATAATAAAACATATATAGTGCCAGTGAGGATGACAATGTAAGAGATGATTATGATGAGACATGATTCAATTGTGTGTATAATAGGCTAAAGCTGAAGCTAGCAAACTCAAGCTGCATTTACATGATGCGTGGTAAAACAGCTCTGCAGTGACGTTGCCGTTGTGTTTCTATGGAAACAGTGTTGCAGACCGACTAGCCTTAGCCTCGCGCTGCACTCAAAGGTCAAATTATTTCATCTTTGACCTCGTTTTCCCGCTAACCTTTCAAACTGCAACCAATCAGATGACAGCTGTATGAAACAGCGGAAGCTAGCAAGGGAGGTAAGCATAAAGACAAATCTTAGCTGGCTGTTTTCACTGCAAGGCTATGCCAAAATCACATTGAGCAAAGAGCAAATTGCATATCATGTGAATACAGGATGAGAGTAAGTTCTCTGAGTTCATGAACAATCACCTTTGTGCAAATGCGCTCCTACGCTAAGAGTGACTTTTTACGAACGCATGCAATAATGCTCAGAGCTCATCTGCATCTGTTTTTTTCATTTTCAGATCTTAGTAGTTTTATATTTCGCCAATGACATGTCAATCTGTTAACGTGGAACATAATTCAAGATGTGGTTGATAGTTTGATACTGTTGGATATGTTCAGCAATCCCTACTGTGGCCCCAACATTTCAGATATCATGACAACATTTCTGAAAGTAAAGCAGAAGCTCCATTACAGTGGGTGTTCTCCGTCCCGCTCTGTCTAATATCTGCCAACCTCTTCAACGCTGCCAGCACGGGACACCCCCCTCTGACCTCCCCCACTGAAACTCATTATTACTTATCTTTGCAGAGCTGCACTATGTATAAAGCATCACTGAACACATTATGAAGAGGAGAAAACACACACGAGGTTGCTGAAATGTAACTTTGAAAATGACCAAATAAATGTGTTGCATCATCAACTCTGACCAAGAACCACTACCCCCAGGATAAAGGAAAAATGATTTGCAGATGTATAATAACACATTAACCCAGGGCTGAGTTGCATAATATAGAAATATCTTAAATATTTAATAGATCATACAACCCAGCTGACAGCAACAGCAGTGCACTGACCGGTACTTGTAGAACATCTCTTGAAGGTAAAATCCCAGCTAATGGCCAACTGCTGCTTCAGCGTTTATTGAATGTTTAGTGTGGGTCCAGAGGCTCTTTAAGACAAACACCTGACCGCACCCCACCCTTTAACAGTGTTCTGCCTCATAAAAAACACTGGCCTGTTGGTTTACAATCCACAAGGACCTGATTGAAAACAGACGCCTTGTTGGCAGTGCACACGCCATTTGTCTCAAAGTGATTCCACAGAAAAGAATAACTAATTTATTGAGACAGTTAAGTTGTCAGTGCAGCTCCTCTGCTGGAAGCCGATTGAATTTCCAAGCAAGGACATTTCGCATATCTCTCCTTATGTTTTATGCTCAAACTTAGATCAAGTTAGCAGGCTATAGCAGAGCCTGAAGATAACATTCCAATTTACCTTGAAAACAAACATCTCCCCTCGGAGCATGGCCACAGAGTCAAAGTTCCCTTCACAGATATTGGGCCCGTAGTGATCCGGTCTCTCAGTGGTCCTGGGGTGGTCAGGATGACGGGGGGGAGTTTGTGGGGGGCGGGGCTCCGGGCGACGAGGCGTCACGGTGGGCAGGGCCACGGTGGGGCTGCTGTTCTGCTGACCTGCAGGGACAAACAGATGGGGGTAAATATATTGGATCAAATACAACAATTATAAATCAACACTTAAAATTAAATGAGGAAGGGTGTAAACTTAATTTGTTGTTCATTTGTGGTGACTAAGCTAACCATCGCCGAGTGTTAACAAGGTTGTCATCTAACCCTCAGTAAAAATAATGTTTCCCAGAATAATGAAGTTGACCTATTACAGAAGGTTGCTGCTTGCTTGAATGTGACTGTGGATATTGAGCGCTCTGTCATCACCATGCCTGTAGAAAAAGGTGGTGGCCTTAATGTGACCGTGGATTTTGACGACTCTACTGATGATGAGTCTGCGCCAAGGAAAGCTATCCCACTTCAGACACCATATGTTACAAAACGTGTTGGTAATTACTAAGACAATGTATAAGATGGCTTGAGTCGCAATAACATATATTTACATGCTTTTATTTACAGAAAAATTGTGAAAAATTAAAATGACACAGACGTCCAGTCCAAAATTAGAAAGGTATCTTAAAATAATGAAACACAATAAATCAAAGAAGTCATCATATGCTACTATTTTTAACAATTAAAGCCCTAACAATTACTTTTTAATGTATAAGAAATTATTGTCACCCATGCTCATGCATGGTATGGTCCAATTCACAGCACCTGTTTTGAATAATTGAGCCTCTATTTAACACTAGAACCGCCTTCAACTGTCAGGTAATTGCAGTGCGTGACCGTGTTTTTGAATGTGTTGTCCTGAGTTTTACCATATGCCTTATGCAAATAGTTTGTATCGAAATAAAAATGTGTCTGAGAGAGCAGTGGTTTTGTTGTTGAAAAACATTTATATAAAAATATGTATTACATTTTATAGATGGCGCAAATGATCATATCATGATTGAAAAACCGCAAGGATTCTATGCTCTGGTCTTCCAAAAACCCTCCTACCATAGATCTGCTGGATGCCTCGCAGGTCGTCATCTGGCAGTTGGAAATTCTCCGTCTCCATCCACTGGTAAAAGGGAGCCATGATGGCCAGTGGGTTGTTGGAGTGCTCTAAACCAAGGGCGTGGCCCAGCTCATGGACTGCAACCAGGAAGAGGTCGTTACCTGTGTGTATATGATGAAGCAAAGACATGAGGTAAGGGGAAATAAAAAAGATGCAAATTTCATTTTGACACTTAAAATCTAGTAAGATATTAAAAATAATACTTGAGTAAATGTTCTTAGTTACATTCCACCCCAGCTGAAGGCCACAGTCAGCAGATATTCCCAATAAATCCATGTAGTCAATGGATAACAATGGCTGTCCATTGTTCTCTCCCAGTTATGATGTCAAAGAACATCTCAGTGGATCTGGCATATCATTCACACACACAGGAATGCAAATGATTGCTGATATGAAGCAACATACATTTCCAACATATCTAACCAATCAAGGGATGTCATTGTCCACCGCCACACAGCTGTGACACACTGACCCCTGCATCAACTTCCTCTCGACATGAAAGTCTTCTTACAGACTTTCTTTTTTGAGAAAAGTAAAACCACAGTTAAAAATTCACCAAAAATAAGTTGATCTCTAAAGTGAATCCAAACATATTTAGGTGCTTCCCCTGTGTGAATACCATTTTGTTTCCTGTGCATGCTCTTTGTGAACTTTACATTTGCTGGCCATTTTGTCTGGCGTGATGCTGATTGGTCGGATTTGTGCTAGTTACGTCATGTTGTTAGGGGGGGGATTGGGACTCGTGGAAGTCACTGCTGTGTGTCATGCAAGGGAATGGGAGATGCTCTGAATGCCTGTCCTTGAGCTTCCCCTCACACACACACACACACACACACAAAGGAACACACACAGGAGGATACACACAGTTCATCTCCCCTACGATCTATAATTTCAGAGTCACATGAATGTTCTCATGGTGGTCTAAGGCTGCAGATCACACTCAAGGAGAGAAAGCAGCAGAGGGCAACACAGAGTGCTAGAGATAGCTGAGTGGATAAAGAGGCCTTTGTGTGGTAACTGTGACAACTGTTCAAAACTTCAAAGTCTTGGCAAAGTTAGAAGTTCAGCCAATGAGACTACTGCTATTTCTGACTACCTTGTACACTAAAACAGACATTTTGTCATCCTTATTTCAACTCTGAAGCGTTGTTCACTTGTTCCTATGAAGGACATTAAAGCAGACCCCTGACAACCAAAGTGCACTCCTTTGTGCCAGTGACTTACTCACATTAGTCTCATCTGACCGCACAGAAAAACACAAGCTCCTGGGCTTTTATCGCTACGGGCCTGCGGTGTTGTTTCCGTGCAAGGTGGCTTTGAGTGTGTGTGTCAGCAAGTCACAGCGAGCAGCTGATTAATCACACCGTGCATTATAAGGTTCACTCCGAAAATGTTCGTCCTAAAAGCATTGTTCTTCACTAACCCGTGAAACTGAGGTCAAGGATAGGGAAACCCCGTAACTGCAAAGAGTGGACTGAATGGGTTTCAGGCTTTTACAGTCAATCTGTCGTATACATTTTTTATGTGGAACTATTGATCCCTAAGCTAAAGTGTGTGTCTGTTTGACCCCACCCAAAAGGAGGTCAGAGGTCAAAGCTGATTCTGTTTCAAGGACACTTGAGCAGAGCTGATGTATAAGGCTTTAACATGGCTCTGCAACTCTCACTATATATTAAAGAAGACAGTATATGAGCACTCGTTTTCACCCTCTGTCTGAAACCAGAGCCCAGTCTGCTGTCATTGGTTAGCTGGCCGGCTCAGTTGTGATTGGTTAACCGTTTAAGGATGTCACGTACAATGTGTTGGAGAGCTAGCCAATAGAAGAGTGAGTGTTACATAGTGATGTCACTATGTTACAGAAGTAAACAAAGGAGTCCAATGGAGGCGTTTGAGGCGGGGGGTGGGGGAGGTGGGAGAGAAACTCCCTCTGGAGGGAAAACAGGGAGACGGAAAACCCCGAAAAGCATAACAGGGCCTCTTTAAGAAAATCAATACCAAACAAGGATTTTTGATGAAGTCTGCAGAATATCGTTTGTAGACTGGTGCTTTTCTGCAGTAACACAGTACTTTATTCAGATATTTTCACATATGTTGCCTTAATTTGCCAAATATTGCACGATTTGGATATTGCACATTTCCATTTTGTGATTTCGATAAGATGTCTATTAATTGTGCAGCTCTAGCTAGAAACGTATATACTGCCTTAAATAATGAACTGAATGAATTGTCGCTGTGTCAGCTCTCAATGTTGACTCTCTTGACTGTATTGTGCAATATCTCTCCAACAGCCAATTGCTGGATCAATCTGCATGAGTTATGCTGGAAGGGAAATCTGAAAATTCAAATTGAACAAAGAGTAAGGGCTGTTTCAGCAACAGTGCGATTTGTAGGAAGTAAACATGCTGAAGCTGAAAGAAGATTGCATCTGCAAAAAGTTTGACTAATTAGACATGTGTCCAACTGAAGTCAGACAAGATTGTAATTTGGTTGTACTCTGCTGTTGAGCTGCGTAAGTAGCGTGGTGCAACAAAGGGACCAGTCCTTCCAAGTGGAACACACTCCCACTTACTGTGGCATTCCACTGTCCCTGTGATCTGTCCAGCTACACATCCCACACACAGCTGATCACACAGATACACACACACACAACGTTTAGCAGTCTGCTGTGTCTATGGATAACAGGGGAGGAAAGCCTATTGTCACTCAAATCCCTCTCTGGTGAGCAGGGTTAATGAGTGCACAGCAAGGAAACAGACTCTTCTAAAAGGTTCTTCAAAATGAATACATTTTCTTAATCCTCACTTTTGCAAAGAGTTGTAATTGTGTATAGGGTTCATTTTAAGTTAAATGTATAGGTTAAGCATGAAGCATCCATAGGTCAAGGCAATGATTTCAGCAGCAATATTCCCCGTAAGCACAAAAGTACAATTTATAATGTCTTAGTTGAGCCAACTCTAGTTATGTGTTTAGGACAGCTGTTTATTTTACAATCAGGGGAAGCTCGCTACTGTAATGAAAAAGGGTTAGGGTTAGTTATTGGATTTCTAACACAACACGAAATGAGAGCATTATAATCGTTTTATCTCTATTTTCTTATTATTATAAGCCAAAATTGTAATTGAAAATAAAATGTGATAAATCCACCAGCACTAAAACCCTTCAACATAACTATTGGGCTCCAAACAGCTCATCAGCTGAAATGATTAAGGGCCTAATAACCTGTATCCTCATTTCTACCAAAGAAAGAAGGTAATGACTCCCTCCTCACTCAATAAAAGGCTTCATAACACAGCGAGCGGTATGTGAGCAGCTGCACACATAAAAAAACACGTCCAACACACCAACTAACATTTTGCGGCAAAACATCCACCCAACTGAAGCATCAGACGGTGCTTCCTAAAAGCCTCTCCGAGACGTTTGTTGTAGAATACGATTTTGTTCCTTGTTTATCTACATTTGGCCAAACAATAGAAATGATACTGACAGTAAGCGTTTACCTTGTACGTTATGGTTTCCTATGGTCCATGGTTCATCGGAGTCAAAGTGTGTGTCCCCGCCCATTCCAGGTCCAGGGAAGTAGGCGTGAGCTAGGAAGCCTCCCTCCCCATCAAAAGGAGAGCTGTCTCCATGGAAACCCGAAGCGAAAAAGATCATAATGTCGGGCTCCTTGCGGCGTCCATATTTGATCTCCTGGTAGGGGATTTCGTCAAAGGTCAATGGGGTCACCTGCTGCCAGACTTTAAACGCCCGACGGATGGCTTCGTATGAGTTATACTCTCCAATCTTGGGAGTGTAGTTCTGGATACTGTGGTAAAAAGAGAGGAAGAGGGAAACATTTTTTAAAGTTTAACAGTTACCGGTTTGATTTTCTTTACAAACAGAAGGTGTTTATGTTACCTGTAAGTGAGGTGGCTCTTGTTCCATCTATGCCCCGTGAGGGCGTAGCGTTTCCGCCGCACGTTGGTTTTGATCGGGCCTCCAAACTTGTCAGGCACACCACAGCGGGGTCTCCTCATGGCACTAAAGGAGCAAGCAAGAAATGCGTGTCAAATCAAATCAAATCAAATCAAGATTTATTTATATAGCACATTTTTAAACGATTTTTGGTCGAATCAATGTTTTATCGTGCATTTATCGTCACAGCACAAACAGTGACATTTAGACTAGATGAAATCAAGCAAGGCACCAATCACAACTCTTATCACCCGCTAAGCTACTTCTAAAGTTTGTCTCCTATTTCAATAAACACACACCCTTTCCTTTCCTAACATCTATCCATTCCCTGTCCTACCTCATTTGAACCCACAGCCCTACATCCCTCCATTCCTTCTCCCATTCATCCCTTCCTCCCCACAATCCTTTGACTCTTCATCCCTTCCTCCCCACATCTCTGCAACACTTCATTCTTCCTTACAGCCCTTCATCTTCATTCCTTCCATCCTTCTGCTATTAATAATGTCTTGCCTACATCCCTTCATCCCTATCACTTCGTCCCACATCCCTTCCTCTCTTCCTCCATTCACCCTTCCATCCATTCACCCCTTCACCTCCTACATGACTTCATCCCTCATTCTTTAGTCCACTCTTTCACACCATCCCTTCATTCCCTACTCCTGTCTTTTTCCTTATGTTATGTTTTTCTATTTAATCTGGTATAATCATACTTTTTGTCTCAATCCAGGGATCGTCTGGGGGCTTGTACCCCCCACCCTGAGTCTCCCTCTGCCTGGACTTCAGTTTGTCCTCCAGAGCAGCCCTATAGACGAAATCACTTGTCCTTCTTCACCTCTTTCTACTTACATGACATTTCTCTAAATCTTTAACATGCTGTTGAGACGTGGTCGTTGCTTTAAGGGACTGGTCCATATTATCTTGAGAGTTGGTGTAAGTTTTAACATACAAAAAACATTCCAGTTAATCCAGGCTAACCTGACTGTTTGTTGGTCCATCTGTCCAGTGACCTGCAGGCTGTAGAAGCGCTGCATGTCGCTGATCGCATTGGACAGGATCTGAGCCGATCGCATGGTGGACATCTGTCTGCTGGCCTGGGGCAGGTAACCGTACATCTTCAGCCATGACTGGAGACAGGAAGAAAAACATATAAGGAGACTTTTAGAAATATCCTTTTGGTTGGCTGCAATGCACAGGAAGTGGCCATCATCAACAATTAAATTGCCAAAAGCTTACGCTACACAGACATGACACTATCTCAGAAAATAAACTTTCATCATTATGAACACGGATAGTTTTATGAGCATTAGGGCGATCTATGTCAGGATTTTGAATTGTTTTTTTATGGAAGCCCATTTCTGCCAAAGGGATGGAGAAAGACACATTTAACTTAAAATAATGACTTTTGTTCTTTAAAATTAGAAGCTTTCATAAATGATGAGTAGATATTATTGAGAAATTGTGTTAAAATAATTACCTTGAATCTCAAAATAATGACTTTCATATCTCGAAAAAATTAGAAGCTTTCATAAGTCATCATTTAAAAAAAAGTGTTTCTGTAATTTGACATACTACGTTATTATTTGTACAACGTTTCTAACCATAATGTCTTACATTAACTTTTTGTTTCATCACAGGGCTAAGAGTATTTTCATTGTTTTCTTATCTGTATTTTTTTACTGGCAGAAATATCCTTCCACAGTCAGGCACAGCAGATACCAGCTTTTGTAACATGATGATATGACAGAGATTTGACTTGGTACTCAGAAGGCAGGCAGGACATTAGTTTCAGAGCTGAATGTGAGCCCTGTGAGCCCTACCTCATCTGGTTCTCTGGGAGCATGTAAGTGGGGGGTGGGTGTTAATGACAGACTTGATGGAGAAAAAGTGATATTTGAGCTAATCACAGATGACGCAAAGTCTATCCCACCTGTTAAGAAGAAACCTAATATCACACGCACTCACACACGGGCAACCACTTGCATACTGGGTAGTCTGGGATACTAGATACGCCCACACATGGACACCCTATCCATGGTGGTGCAGGGAATGTAAAAGGGAGTGTCACATAAAGCAGTGTGGGTATCTGTGTGTGCATTTGTCAAATATACGCCCATCTTACACAATGAAAAATACTGCTTGTTATCTGTGTTTACTTATCCACTCCTTAAAAACACCAACAATCTTTCAGTCTTTCTCCCTCTTACACATATACTCAGCGCACATCTTATAAAAACTGTAAATAATAAGAGCTCTAGTCATGTAGAAGTGCCACCCACCACATTTCTTATTGTAGGAGGTACCCCCCCAGACGATAAGTTGTATTTGCTGTAAGTGTGTCCTGAAGAAACAAAATGTCCCTACAGTCCAACCAATCCCTGGAAGTGTCATCTAATGTCAACACAACTACAATATGAATATGTTATAAAGGCAAAGCTGTGGAACTGTGCTCTGTTTTAAAAACACACATTGATAAGAGGAGTTGAAATGATCATCACAGAGCTACTGACGTTAAAAACACCAGCTTGAATCACTAACTGAGCCGGTTGTTTCTGTAAAAGATGCACTCAGTTTGTAGTAAACACAAGTAACTCACAGATACACTGGCCAACAGGAGGTCAAGGGAGGTAAACACATAGTGTTTGAGCCCTCAGGCTTTGGAGCTACTGGCCAAAGGAGCTCAAAGCTTCCAAACCCTTTTCATTGTTCTGTTATATCTCCAAACAATAAAGGCAGGCTTCTATGTGCTGAGCTTTTATATATCTCCTCTTCAGGTTGATCATCATCATTATTATTATTTATATATATGGTATTACCTTCTAGTATGCCATTATTAAACAATGCACAATCATAAACTAAACACTTGTTTTATTGAATACATATTACATTACATGTCACTTGTTAGACTCTTTTATCCAAAGCGACTTACATACTCAATACTGTGGACAATCCCCACAGGAGCAATTTGGGGTGAAGTGTCTCAGGGACACAACGACATCGTGGGTGTTTCTCAATCGCGAGTAAAGCTGCTTCAGAGCCACTATTTCAAGCATACTACGTCATCGAGTGCCGCCGAAGTACTGTTCCAATCTCCAGCAGACTTGGAAATCTACCGAGCCCGGCGTACTCCGTTTGGAGAAATATCGAGGCTGCACATGAATAGACGCCGCGGTCTTAAAATCCCCACAATGCTTTGCGCACGGACCAATTTCCCCAAATCTGTGGCGGAAGATGTAAGGCGGGGCCTACCATATGACGCACACCTGCACACTTGCTCGCCTGTTCCACTCTTTGTTTTCCGAATGGCAGGAAGTATTCTTGCCTCGCTTCTGAAGCAAGATGCTCGACAGACATGTGCTACCAAGCAAGCGTACTCGCGATTGAGAAACACCCGCTGACTGCAGTGGGGTTTGAACCTGTGACCCCCTGATCCCAACACCAAGGCTCTATCCACTGCGCCACACGCCTCCCACATATGTTATGTCAACCTATACCCCTATTTATTATCACTGGGCATTCTTAAATGTTGTTATACTACTCGATATTTACGTAAATACTTCATTTAAGTCACTTTAGCTCCTGTTAGTTAATTTAGTAACTGTATATAAATGTTTTTCTGTCCCTTTTCTATATTCTTTTGTCCTATAGTTATTATTGTAAATCTATTATGTTTAACACCTCACTACACTTCGTCAATCTTTTACATATCTCTTATTATTGAACATTGAGACGCACTTATGTACAATATTGTCAAGCATTTAAGTGTTACATCATTTGAATTGTTTCTTATTTCCTTTGCAGAAAGAAATGAGAAAAACTCTTAATGTTATGCAGTGTTTCCCACAGAATTTGATTCTATTTGTGGGCCCCCCCCCCCGGCAAGAAAATGTATGGGAAACACTGTTATGTATGCTATGTATGCATTATTCCCTCTCTGTTTCTCATCTTCAATGTTTCTCTTTCTTGCAGATGCAGCTCTGTGAATGAGTGTGTAGGAGAGGGTAAACTGGACGTGACCCTGACCCACCTCTGCCTTTAGATAAGGAAGCTCACACACACACACACACACACACACACACACACACACACACACACACACACACACACACACACACACACACACACACACACACACACACACACACACACACACACACACACACACACACACACACACACACACACACACACACACACACACACACACACACACACACACACACACACACACACACACACACACACACACACACACACACACACACACACCCTAACACAAACTTCCTGAAACACTATCTTAATACTCTCTCACGAACAGGCACAGAAGCTAGAAAACAGGTGGCAGGGTTCACAAAAAACCTCTGTTCATCGCACGAAACGTAATCATACATGTAGTCAAGACAACACAAACATCACAACAGTATACCAGGCTAACATTAACTCAACACAAAACACTGGTTGATAAGCGCCCCGCCCCTCCAGTTTCTGTTGTTATGCCTAAAGAAGTTTTCCATTCTTGCCCGGCATAAAATGCACGTAACAATGATAGCTGTGGCAGATTAACCATTCTGAACTTTAATTAATGTTTGACCACAGGTCATTCATTTCAGGCAGAGGCGAACAGAGTTATTTCTATGTTAGTTAAGATAGTTTTGGTCTGACAGACATGGCCAAAAACAGGCTTCTTCTCTAATTTCTACCGTCACCTCACCAGCACTTGAATTGAAAAATGAAAATAAAAATGTTTTAGCTTGAAGCTCTTGGAGCGACAGCAAAAAAAGGCAGAAAAAAGTTGCTGGTTGCGGTGGACCCATGTGCTCAGTCCTCAGTGAAAACAACTAAAGTACGCTGTCACTCAGAAATAGGCAGTATTTGGACACAGGCAACGTGGTGGACTCTGTACCTGGTTATATTTGCAATGCTAGGAGTGGACAATCACTGTAAAAGGGAGGGTTTCAGTCAATGGTCAAATAATGAAATCTTACCAAATAATGTAATCACAGCAGCTGTATGAAAATGTAATCGAATAACAAAAATGTTACAATTCCACTAGGATAGATTTAACAAACATGTCCCCAAAAGACAGAAAATCTTTAAAGAGCTGATTAGTAATAAGCAGTATTGATTGTAGATTCATGTCAGCTAATGTACTTCATATTTCATACTGCGTAAAGATAAAAACAAAGCACTCGCTGAAATGCACCCGCTAACGGTCATCCAACCAAAGCAGTTTAAAATTGTTATAGAGAGCTGCAGTCAGGACGTATTTTTGAAGGCCAACCCAGAAGTTAGCATTGCAACGGCTCCCTTGACAAAAAGCAATGTGTCTTTCCATTGGAATGTGAAAAATGACAGAATGTAAGTGTTACGACTCCCTCCACTCCACTAGGGGTCTCTGTGTGTGTTCTCTGCTTGCTGGCTCTTAATTTGTGTTTCAGGTGATCCAAGTCATCAGCCTGTGAATAAGTGAAATCTGGTTGTTTGGGAGGAATAGACGAGTGTGGTGAGTAGGCTGTTTGCTTTTTTTGTTTGGATAATGTTAGCAGCCGTTATAACGCCTAAAACAAAGAGTTGTGTGTTGTGTCGCAAAGCTGGTTGTGATGGTTATTTTGTGGTAGAGTTTTGGTTGTCCTGTGTAAAATCTCCAGCAAACACACGTTTATGATACATACACATTTGGTTGTTTAAGTATCACAGGAAAATCTCCACATATTAATCCGACTATGATTTTTTTTTTTTTTTTTTTTTTTTTTTTTTTTTTTTTTTTTTTTTTTTTTTTTTTTTTTTTATTGAACATTTTTTTAAACATACAAAAGCTCGGTGAGGATATCATCAACTTATCAACATAAGTTCAAGACACTCATTCACAATAAGACAAAAAAACATAACTAATACATCCAGTAAGAGCCAGGGGGAAAGAAAAAAGCATAAAGGCACAAAAACATTTAAGAGGCATTAAGCTTACTTAAAATAATAACCATTTGGAAATGTCATTGCAAATCTTTATAGTCAGGTTACAAGATTGTATTTTTCTAAGGGACAGAAAAAAGGACTTGAACTCATTTATGAAACAGGGAAAGGAGGGCTTGCCTCCTCTCCATTTACTACAATGTAAATGGTATTTACC